TCATATATTTCTTGAAAATGCAAAATTTTTATTACTTTCTTATTAAATATTGTCTTTTTACAATATGCAAGTTGGTGATAACAAAGTTTGCACAGTTTTTTTTATATAAACGACATTGTTGAGCAATATCAGTCGAAAATTGAATTTTCAATTTTCTCACGAGTCTTTTTCGCACGCCTTTGGTACGAGCATATAACACTTACTCAAATATAAAATATTCTATCGACTTTAACAATAAATTGTAATGAAAAAATACGTTAAAATATAGATCTGAAGAAAGATTTAAAGGAAAAAAATAGTTACAAGATGATCATAGCATGGAATGTCATAAAATCTATGTAAATCTTGTATAGTAATAGTCTTATTTAATCCCACCTCGCATTTTTCAGTCTGAGTTGAGTAGCCTGCCCGCTTCTTGATCGAGCAACCAAAAAAGAGTACCATCAACTGGTTCCACTCTGGTAGCTGGTAAATCTTCTTTATCTCTCAAGACTCTCTGTAAACAATACATTAATAATTTAAATACAACCAAACCTTTACTTTTTTTAATTTCCTTTCACCTTTCACTTGTGTTCTATACGCAGTTCTGTAATATTAATTATATGTTGTTATATTATATATGTTTTAATTGTGCAGGAGTAAATATAAAGTAAAGCAAAAGCAAACATAATATAAGAAATCTAGTTGTTGAAGAATTATCTGATCAAAAAAGTGACACAAATGCTTAAACATCTTAATTATAGTTGATTTATTATCTTTAAATTTTCTTTACTGTGTTTATTTTTCTGAATTTAATTGAATATATATCTTCGAGAAATCACATTTTGAAAGTTTTAGTTGTTAAGAAAAGTGAAAAAATTGTTTAATTGTTGAATTTTAGAAATATTAAAACTATTTATGTTAATTTTCTAAATATATTTTAAATTTAAAAATTCAAATGATTATTTTACAGGAAAAGTTTGGTAATTACTTTGACGATCTCGGCCTTGCTAGCGCCAGTGACAATAAACACACACATGCGAGCGTTATTAATGACCGGCATAGTGAGGCTAATTCTACTGGATGGTGGTTTTGGCGCGTTCAGTTCCCATGTGACCCACATGTTCTCGTCATCGAGGGCTCGATGACCGGGAAAGAGCGAGCACGTGTGCCCGTCTTGACCCACACCCAACAGCAGACAATCGAATCTCGGTAATCTATCCGGCGGGAAGAAGAAGGCCATTTTTTTAATGTAATCCTTCGCCGCGTTCTCGGCTACAAATATATATAAATAAATAAATAAATGATAAACAATAGAAATAATGTTAAAATATAAAAATATGTATATAAAATTATATAACAAGATAATGAATAATCAAAATATAAATTACAAAATGATAATTATATGTATATATATATACAGGATGTTCCAAAAGTAACGATAAATCTTTAAAATTGTTTATTTTCTTCTCATAGAACTCTAAGAATTTTTTTTAAATTTTTTCAGAATTTTTTAATCCGTATTTTTTCATGTTGGTAAAAATAAGAAAATGCAGTACTAAAAAGTTGATAAAAAATTCTGAAAAAATTCTTAGAGCTCTATGAGAAGAAAATAAATAATTTTTGTTTCTTGCAGTTTTTCTATAAAATTGATATTTGAGTAAAAAATTATTGAACACCAATTATTTTCGACAATTTTTAGTAATTAATATCTTGTTAATTATTGCGAAAATTGTAAAATGGTAGAGGACCTTTCTTCTCAGTTTAGTCCATTCTGCTCCTGTGCGAAAGATTTAGCGTTACTTTTGGAACACCCTGTATATATAAATGATAATAAATTATAATAAATAAGCTAATAGATAAATAAATAATAAATGTAAAGCAATTACAGATATATGGATTATCGTATATTCTTATTAAAAATAGAAATAGATTACGGATCAATTACCGTTGAGTTCTGGGTCGACCTTCATGAATTGCTCCTCGGTGACAGGCACTTTTCCGATTAAACAACTTTTGTAAAGGCCAAAATTTGACTCAGAGTCATCCAGAGGCACCACTCGTTCATCGCAAAAAAAAAAGCGCCATTTGCTCCAGTCAGTTGCAATGTTAGGCAGAGACTTGGCCAGCAATTGTACTACCGAACCGCCTATACAACAAATCAATAACGAATTAAAAATAATTTTTTTTATTTTTTCAGATTATTTGATACATATACGATATTTACATACACTGGGAAAAAAGTTGTTAACTTGACTAAATGCATTTAGTTTGTAGTGATTATTTAGTTCAAGTATTTAAATACTTAGTGAGAGTAAAAAGTCTCAGACTGGTGAAATATCTCGAAAACAAAACATTTTTAGGAAAAATGATTCAGATAAAAGTTGAAGGGTTTAAAAATATCTATTCACTGATTACATCTATTTGACTTTGGGTGGCGTCGCCAAAATCAGGTCAAGGTCACATCGATTTTTAAATGGGACATCCTTTATTTTTTATGTCAAAATCTAATAGCTGATGTCAAGAGTTTTTCAAAGCTATGGCAGAGAACGAGATATAACGAGATGTAGTCATGATGTCTCATTACATCTCTTTCTCTGCCACAGCCCTAACAATACCATGTGCGAAACCGGATCGTATGATCCAGTGGTTAACTTCCTGGGGGAGGGAAAAGCCTTCTAAAAGTCACCTATACATATACAAATTTGTAACTGTATTATTTTAATAAGGACAATAAATAAATTAAGCGAACTAAGAAAATATAGTAATATTAATCAAGAATTCGGACCGAAAAAATTCGGTCCAAGGCTAAAACTGTAACAGGAGGCTAAAACCTCTTCCAGTTTAGTTCTCTGTTTTCTCTCCAGAAGGAAAGAAGAGGAAGAAAGAAACTGATTCAGACAAAAAGAACAGGCCTCATGTCAAGTGATCATATGATCGATCCATACGATCATCACTTTTCTGCACTTTTTTCGATCTCTTTCCAGAGTATATAAATTTGTAAGAAATTAGGAAAAATGATACTCTCTCTCTCTCTTTCGGAAAAATGATACTCTTTCCAATAAATAGTTACTAAAGTATCTTTAAACAATTTTTCTTATAATGATCCTCTTAATTTATCATATCTATAGTATAGTTCGTTGAAGTACAATGGCTACGTTTACACCGTGCACTTAGTCCGCGACCTATACGATAAATGTCTTTGTTTAACCTACAGGATAAACAAGGACATCTATTGTATAGATCGCGACCTAAATGCACGGTGTAAACGTAGTCAATTCCCTGTATCGAAGGCAGGCGAAAATCGGAAGTTTATGAAAACGTCTTACTTATCGACGAATTCATGAACATTCATGAATAAATGAGTTCAAAGCTCGTTTTCGAGCGCGGCAGCACAAGAATGTGACTTTAAGCGAAATTGAAAAATCAAAGTCATTCTCGCATGATTAGTGAGAAACTTATCGAAACTAAATATATATATATATATATATATATGTATATACATATATATCGAAACCAAAGACTTGTATAGAACGTGAAAATTACAGAGGCAGTAATAAAATTCATTGTCAATGAAATACGAGTAGCAACAGCGAGCAGAGTGAGACGAAATAAAAAAAAAGTTGTATTAAAAAATTGTGGCATCACCTGATACGCCGAAACGAAAGATCCGATCATCGCGTGAGATCGCATCGTCAGCGGCGCTGGCGATGAGGTTAGAAAACCTGGAGAGTAACTTCTCCTCGTCGGTGGCCACCACTATCCCCGTCGTTGCGTGCATTTCTTCGCGTGCAGCAAAACGAGAGCGAGATTACCCGTACCATGTACTTTCGAACACGACCAAACACGACGACCACGCTGTAACTTGATGCAACACACGACAGCTGACAACAGCCAATGTTGAATGATCACCGAGTGCTAAAAGTTGTGATCGTCAACTCGGATGACTAAACAAAATTCTAACGAATGGCTGCGTTCAGCAGAGAAAACTAATCGATTAGTGCTTAGTGATTGGACGCGTTCAAGTTGACAAAGCGGCTAGCCTGCTCGCTGAGTAAATGAACATAATTGGTTATTACTTATAAATTCAACCAATCATATTCAATCGCTATAAGTCGCTGCCTAGCCGCTTTGCCGTCTTGAACTCGCCCATTGGCTGCGTTCAGCAGAAAAAGCAGCTTTACAACTGCTGTAAAATTCTTTAATATGATTGTTCTTGCCCTTAGTTTCTCATTAGATCTAAATGTATCTGAATATAATGCCTGGTTTATGCTTCGGTCTTAATCCTAAAATCCTAAAATTTAGCCAATGGAATACAGATTTCAGTTAGGACCAGTTAAAACTGGCAGCCCTATTGGCTGAATTTTAGGATTTTAGAGTTAAGACCGAAGCATAAACCAGACATAAATCAATTATATTCAAGAATTTCACAACAGTTGCAAAGCCGCTTTTTCTGCTGAAACACAGACCCTTGCATAACGCATAATGCATAGTGTATAAGGGAATCGACCAATCGAAATTCTTCTTTTCCACGGAATGGAAGGAAAGGAAAGATTCTGATTAGTTGATTCGCTTATGCATTATGCGTTATGCAAGAGTCTGTGCTGCGGCCTTAAAATTCGGTCCGAGTTCTCGGATCGAAAAATGTGTAGCCAATCAACTTGCCGATTTTCCGTAAAAACTGTAAGCTAATTGGATACACATTTCACGATTCGAGAACTCGGATCGAGTTCTATCATCGTGAACACAATTTAGTGGCTTAAGTTTTATAGCGTTTTCGACTCGGTCGGGTTTGCACCAACCTAGGTTGGATTAATGGTGTTTTGGATTAATGACTCTCCTATTGGTGTAACGTCAACCAATAGGAAAGATTAATCCAACTCAGGTTGGTGCAAACCCGATCGGGCCGAAAACACTATTATAAATCTAGGACTCTAGAGTCGGGTAGTATTCTAGTATTTTCGAACGCAGTCTAGTAATTTTATTGAGCTGTCTTGGGACTATTGGGTACCCTGTCGACGCTTTACACTGCTGACTGCTAACCACTGCTCGCCACAAAACATTATCTGACCCAATCATTACGGACGATTGTTAACGCTGTTGTTATTACATCTTGATCTTTACGGATTTCTAATATATTGAGGATGAGTGACGATGATCGTGACATCGATATCGAGAGCGATGTAAGTAGCACGTACGGGCGAGTTTGCTCTCGCTGGAATTTCTGATTTAACTTCCATCTTTTTAGGATGGCGACGATTCGGATTCAAGACTGAGGCACTCCAACAACACGCAATACTACTCTCAGGTGAGATTCCATGAATCGGCCCTGAAATTTTTCGTCACGGCCGACAATTAAATTTCTATGTTATTGCACAACGAGAAAGATTTCTTTCACGCGATTTTTTTTGCGTCGAATAACTATCAAAATAATGATGTATCTAACCTCATTTCTTTAATGCTGTAGATCTTGTGTTTATCAAGTAGTATTGCTTGTTGTGTTTGCTGATATCTACATACGAATATAGTGAAATAAGTATTGTAATCAATGCTGTAAAATGTTGTCTTTTCAGCTGTCAATAGGGACAACCGTTATAAAACATTGATTGTAATTTCTTACAATACATAGATTGGATTTTTCTATTTAAGATACAAAAATATAAGATTACAAAAATTATTCATGTCACTACATAAAAAAAAGTGACCCAAATAAAAAATTGGCATTTTTCAGATAATGAAACAAAATTGACTCTAAAGGGTAATATATTATCATAGAAAAACGATATACATTTCTGATCCAGATAACTCGAAACATTTTAACATTAGAACAATTGCTGCAATATTGTTGGAATGCTCAATTTTATCTTGATATAATATTGTTGGAGAGCTCATCTGTTTTTATGGAAAAATATCAATTCAGACAAGGAATAAAGTGTAATAACTACTTAGGTTGCAGCGTTGGGTACTATTTTGAAAACTCATTGTATAGATTGCTAGAAGCTTCACTCCCTTCTGCTTGCAATAAACCAGAGCTAGGATTTAGTTATGCCACATGTCGACATAAATCCCAGCTCTGCAATAAACAATGAAGATAGAATGAAGCTTATATTTAACGCTCAAAACAAATACAGCTATAGTTTTAAAAAAATACATTATAATTGAAAGTATAACAAGAAATGCATATTCACTATCCTAATTAAAACATCCCAATAGAATTTAAAGAATAGTCTACTGGAAAGTTGCTAATTTTTAAATGTGTCACGTTTCTCTCAACACAACGATATCTATCTAGGGAAGAAAGAAGATGCAGCAATGAAATATTATGTAAAAGTAAAAGAAAGAAAATGAGATGTTATAATAAAACAAAAAATTATGATAATACACTGTAATTTTGTACAAATACGAAATGAATATAACAAGATAAAGTTTATAATGTGTAACAACATTATAAGAGACATAGAAAAATGTGAACAGTAAAATTTAAACAGTAAGCAACTAATCGCAATTAAGAATAGTCATATACAGGGTGTTTCCAAATTAAATGGCAAAACTTCGGGAGCGTGTAGAGGAGTAAAAAACTAAGAAAAAAAGTCCTATAGACATATGCTCCTTTTTGCTTTGTTTCGCAGGAAATCACGAAAAAAGAAAAAAATATATTTAATTTATTATTTTAATTATTTTATTTATAAACTTTTTAATGAAGATTTTGTTCGAAATGTGCACCTCTTGCAGCAATACAAGCATTGCATCTGTCAAACACGGCTCTTGTAGCAGCCAGGCACTGTTCTTGCGATATTCTGTTCGCTGCAGCTACGATACGATTTCTCAAATGTTGCTCTGATTGAATAGGCGAAGAATAAACTTCTT